CATGTAGAAACGAAATGAAATCTTTTCTGCATTTTACTTGCAAAATTGTTTTTTTTTCGGCATTTTTAACTTCTTCTTCTTCATCGTTTCTTTCTTTTCGACACAAAAATATATAAAACAAACATAAAAATGATTTTACATCGTCATAATATGGCTTATTCTTTCATCTTTCTCTGACTTCTTATACCAATCTTCTTATTGTAATTTTTAAATCAGTTTTAAACAGCAACGAAAATGAATACAGAAGAATGCAATCCGATGTGCTTTTTTTACCTTTAATTTTTGTACAAAAATTAAAAGATTTTTCATTGATTCATATCGTCAAGAAATTAAGAAAGAAATTTATGTTCATTTTATTTCATAATTTTCATCTTCTCCTCGATACGATATTAAGTTTTCAAATAAAGAGTCAAAATGTTCATTATATTAAAAGACTTTCTCGCTCGTTTCTCAAAGATCAAATCATTTCTTTATTTACAATGTACCAGGTACAAAGAAATATTGAATTTTGGAATGAAATATAAAATCATAATTTCAAACATGAAAAATGTATTTTATATAAATTATTACAATGTTATGTTTGACAATACAGAAAAATGACAAACCGTGGAAGGATTGTTGATTCTCTACTTTCAATTAGATTCAATCATGTTTTTTTTAATTTAAGAACACAATCGATTCATGCTGTCTAATTGTGTAAAAATTATGTTCTATAAACTCAATGCTCTACTTAAACAATATGGATGTGTCACCAAAATGTATTACGAAAGAAAGACTTTAACTACAACTGTGATACAATTTACTTTGGGGCCATTCACTTATTACGTTTCATAATGTGTAGTCAGAGGTATTTGCACCTTTTTTTCATTTCTTGGACAAGCATCGAATTTCAATGCAACTCGGGACATCCTTCTCTTGTCATCGTTAAACTTTAATTATACCACAAAATTCGATTTAAATTTTTAGAGTAAGTTGACCCAAGGAGCATTAGAAGCTGCCTATAGATAATTTTTCAATCTTCAAATTATGACATTTTAAGGTCATAATTATGACCAGTTATTTTTTGAAAAAATAGAAGACCTGAAAGTAAAATAGAGGACATTCCATTTTCGTTTTCTGGACGAATTAAACTAAATTGAAAAATTAAAACAATTAAGGACTGTCCTCTGAAAAACCAACAAGATAGTCAGCCTACTTTAAGGTCACTTTAAATTCGCACATCACTTTAGACTTACAAAACAACATAAATTTTATTCATGGTTTAGAAAAGCATTATTAAGTTTTTAAAAACTTTGTTGCAATCCATTGTTCGATTTTATTTTTTAATGCATTAATTTTATTAAATTTACATCTCCTCTTCTGTTTCTCTCTTGTTCATTTTAGGAGACATTAAATGCTCATTTTTTCCAATCAAAAGGAGGTTTTTTATTGTCATTCTGTATTGACGAAAGCAGATATTTTTTATATTTTAATTAGGAGAATTTGAAGGTATCTCTTAATCTGCTCAAAAATTTCATTTTGGAATTTTACGACATTTCTCTTTTGCATTGGTGATTCCCAATGGGGAGTTTTCATGTGACATTTTTGAAGAGGCAATCAAAAATTAAATTAAATTTCTTAATACTTTTTATAAATTTATAAATTTTATATGACGATAATGAATTTTTGTCCATATGGAATTGTGTTTTGCACAAAATTAATGATTGAAAAACTTCAATAACTTTTATATTGTGTCAAAAATTAAGCATCATCACTTAAGTCATTTTTAATGTGTCGCTCGCGCCTCCGTTAAGATTTTATGGTATAAAAGTGTAAATGACTTTAAGGTCATGATCCTATTTTTTTGCACTACTTGCTGCTGTTTGCTTTCCTTTTCCCCTTTAATCTCTTTCTTTTTTCTCCTCTCATGCATGATTGTAAAGCATTTATTAAAACACTTATTGAAGATTTTTTTTTCTGCTCATGCATGCTCGTGCTTGAATTGAGAGTAAAATTTTTCAATGTGTGAACTTTCTGCTCTCTTTATCATTGAATTTAAAATAAACGATATATATCATAAAAGACATGAATGCAACGATAGACAACAAACTTTTGATTTTCAAAAAAAAAAAAGACTAAGTTGTAAGAATTAAGAAATGGGTTCGAAAAAGACACAATAACCGAGTCCTTCTTCCTATTACATTAAGAGCTATAAGAAATTATGGTAAATCTATTAGACTTTTGTCACATATTATCTCCTACCGCTTCCCTTTAATTGCACAATAAACAGCCCGTCTTATGAAATTAATAATTTGATGCAAATTATTTTAAAAACTTTAAATTTAGTCATTAACCCTTACCCATTGTCGTTATTTTCTCTTTCGTTTCTCTCTATTTCTTTCTCTTTACACGGTTTAATATTATTTCTTCTTTGATATCAATTTTACCATCAGCTTCTTTGCAATATCAATTTATTTCTCCTCTTGAATATTTTGAAGAAGAAGATCCCAAAACAGAAAAAGTTTCGCATATGAAAGAAAAATACGATAATGGAGTTCTCTTTTACTCTTACAATATTGTTGATGCTGCTGATTTCCGATCGTTTCCCGACTTTATACTGCTAAGCACTTTACGACAGATGACCTTATGTACTTAAATGGTGTATGACCTTAAATATGTATGCAGGGTCGAAAGACAAAAAATTAAAATTTAATTATCTTATTGCAAATTTTGGATACAAAAGCAATTCTAGACAAATACAAAATGAGAATGTTGGTGTTTCTCTTTCATTTTGTATTATTGAGCATCTTTTAAATTTATATTGAATTTATGCATATTATCCAAAAAAATCTGGATTAACAGCTTCCTTATATCTAGGATAAAAATACTATAAAGCAAAAAAAATAGGTTACGAAAGAGGGAGAACCATTAAAATTTATATAAAATGATGGTGTATCCAGAAGAGCCGTCAATCTGGACTATTCCACATATTCCTGCATTGTATGATGACGATGGAGATTATGGTGGTAAGGAGAAATTATTAAATTTATGCATATTGTAGCTTTCAAAAACTAATCTTTTTCAATGATAAAAGTCATCCAGAATTTTTTTAATAAAATATTTTAATTTTGTCTTCAACTATTTTAATTCCCGATAATTGTTACAATTGCATAAAACGCATGCTTAATAATTACTCATTGATTATAAGATTGAGATATGAAGGATGTCATAAATAAATATTTCATGGTTATTGTTTTTAACAATTTCATTCTTTTCGTTGAGACTAATATCTATCATTGTTCTATGTCTTTGTTGAGATCCATTAGAACAAGTAAAAGAAATTAAAATTTCACTCTCAAATGCTCAGTAGATTTTTAGGATCATATGATTAGCTGATCTTTCGATAATTCTTTTTATCATACTGTGATCTGTGGTTCTCTTAAATGTCTGAATTTTTGTTTCTCAAAACCGTCTGCCGTAGGCTATTTCAATATACATAAACATTTTCTGTGTTACTGATGAGAATCTTATTTCTTTTATTTCCTTCTCTTCTTTCTTCTCTCCTGTATGCATATACTCTCTGAAGTGTCTGTTATGATTACTACATGTTGTTAATCTGTAATTCTTCTGGATTAATAAAGAAGGAAATAATTTGATAGACGTGAGAACTTTGGATTTCGTAATTTTTAAGGAGAAGTTAGTGGTAAACGGCTGTTTGTAAATGACGCATCTGAAATTTAGAGATTATTTGTTCATCCAAATCTCAACGTTCAAGGATCTCAAACTCTAAATTCTAAAGCAACCTAAAATTTTTGTATTAAACTACATTAGTTGAGCTTTTTGTTTCCGATAGTTTCTATACTTTACAGTTTTGAATCTGTCTTCACATTTATTTGCCGTTCTAAAACTTCATGGTCACAGAGAGACTATTAGATTCGCATTATAATAAATTTAAAGCTCATTAAATAGTTATTTTCTCACGCAAGAAAAATATATTTACAGAATTGCAGAGCATGTTAAGTCAGCTCCTAATTACACGTTTCGATTCTCTTATTTCTACATAAGATAGAGGTCCATTTACCTATCTTTGTTATTTTATATACAGAAATGAATCCTCTACAAAGCTTATATGAAATTAATATTATTAAGGTTGTCTTTCTGTAACCAAACCGTAAAATGAAATATCTATGCAGTATCCATTTCATTTCACATGTGACTGTTTTACGCGCTCAAATACGGTGAATCTTAAGGCCAGACAATCTTCATTTCCACACTAATGATTTTTATGTTCATTTTTTGCGAAATTAAAAGAAATGGAATGAAAAATCAGAGAGACCTGGACATAAAATAAAAGAAATGTTCATTACATCTAGAATTATCGTTGTCATTACTCTTAATTTGATTTTAATTTTGCAATACAATAATTATGATGAATAATGAAGGTTATGAATAGGCTTCCCATCTACATACTTTTAAGTGAGAACGGTGAGAACTATGAATTCGAAATGATGTATCGAAACTATAGCTCCTGTTTTAAAATTTTAAGTTATAAATGAAATTCAGCACAGCATTTTCAATGATTACCATGAAATGTATAAAATTAAATTAAGGAGCTAAGTACACTTACAGCAATTTACAGTAGCCCGGCATGCACAATTCAATACGAATATTTTTCTGCACCCTTAATTGAAGTTCAATGCATAAAATAGTTATTATAACTTCTTGATTTTTTATTAAAGACCTTAAGTGGTTATTTTACTTTAGGGGAGTAACTACTAGATGTAAAAAATCTTCACAAATTTAATCTGTATCTGAGTATCTTTAAAATATTTATGAAAATTCTTTCACTTGTGCTTTCCCTTTTTTATTTACAATCATGAACTAATATTCAGTAGACAAGTTTTTATTGTAAGCTTGTGAGAGAGATTTTATTGTTTTTATTATCTTTCAATTTTCAATGTCTCGATTTTACAATTCATTATTAATGACTTAATTTAATTCTTTTTTATTTTCCATTACAGTGAATGTTGTAGAGGCTCTTCAAGAATTTTGGCAAATGAAACAGGCTCGAGGCGCTGATTTAAAAAATGGTGCATTAGTCATTTATGAGTCAGTACCATCTACAAGTCAACCTTATGTTTGCTATGTAACGCTACCTGGTGGAAGCTGCTTTGGAAGCTTTCAGGTCGGTTTTTAATTTATTTTAAGCATTAAAGTATTCAAAACCTAGTTTATTTTTATTAAGACTTATGTTTGTTTTTTTTATAATCTCAGAATTGTCCGACAAAAGCTGAAGCAAGAAGAAGTTCTGCAAAAATTGCACTTATGAATTCAGTTTTCAATGAGCATCCATCAAGACGAATAAGTGATGAGTTTATAGAAAAAGCAGTCAATGAAGCAAGATCCTCATTTAAGGGAGACGGAAACGGAGATGATGAAGATGGACCAGATACTGGTATTGGTGCTTTTAGGTGAGTATAGGACGTGATAATCATAAGCTTGGAATGATACATTTTAAATTATTTATTAAAAAATAGATTTATGCTTGAATCAAACAAAGGAAGAACAATGCTGGAGTTCCAAGAGTTAATGACTGTCTTTCAATTACTTCATTGGAATGGATCATTAAAAGCAATGCGCGAAAGACAATGTTCACGTCAAGAAGTTGTCGCACATTATTCTAATCGATCACTTGACGATGACATGCGTACTCAAATGGCACTTGACTGGATTGCACGTGAGCAAGAGAATCCTGGAACGTTAAGTCGTGAACTGACACAGGCCGAGAGAGAATTAGAGACTGCCCGACTTGCTGGACGTGAATTGAGATTTCCGAAGGAGAAAAAGGATATTTTAATGCTCGCACTCACTCAAATGGGTGGCGGTAATTCTACAATGAACAGTTGAACTGAGTAATTGCTAATCTTATAAATTTAAAATATGTGAACATTACGAAAATTCCACATAAATTCAAATTTAAAATTTTGCATTTAAAATGTAACACAAATTAATTTTTAAGAGAAAAATGAAACAAATCATTTTAAATTGTGTGTAAGAATTAAGTGAATTAATTTTTCTGCCTTTTTTAATTGAAAAAGTGAATATTATTGGGATTCTAACTTCAACTTGAATCCTATTTTTTGAATTCAGAGATTTAAAAAAATTAATTATGATTTTTTAATAGTAAATTGCTTCACAAGTTCAAAAATTAATATAAAATTATTTTTAACTCCTTTGTTTTGATCAAATAATCTCTGATTTCATTGACACTAATTCAAATATTGCTCGACAAACAATCAAAAAATGTGTGGAAAGCTCAAGTTATTGTGATTACATGAAAGTAGAAATCCTATATTTTCATATTATATATCGATTAACTAATGATTATCCTTAATTTTAATTTAATTAATAAACTTTTTAAAAATGTGCTATTTTCTTCCAAAATCAAATGAAATAGTAGTAGAGTGAGTTATATAAAGAATTTTATGTCTAGCTTGGAATTTTAAATTTTTTTTAAATGAATAAGCTAGAAATTTGATGATTTATTAACAATCTCTACAAGTTACATAATACGAGATATTAAAAATAGAAATACTTTCATGTGGTGGGGGATACAGTGTTCTTCAACAAAATACAAAAATTCATTACTTTTTTTTAACTTGATCAAATTTATACAAATAGAATTTTTTTATCGAATTAAGTTTTTCTAAGTGGAAATTGAAAGATTTCTTACAAAGAGTTGTAAATACAAACCTCTTGTGTCTATCGTAAACATCTTTTTTCATCCCTTTTTTTATTTCAGTAAGGATCGATACTAAAGCTTTTTGGCCAATGAAAAAAATTAAATTTTTTTTTGAAAAATTTATATATTTAGAACAAAAACAAAAATTGTGATTTTTTTTTGGAGAATAAACAAAATTTTTTTAGAATTTAAATTTTTTTTTATATTTTTATGTTGGACGAATGAGAGAAAAATTATAATTTAATTCTATCTAATCAACTATTTAATACTAAATGAAATAAATCTAAAGTGTTGAATATGAAAAATTATTCAATCAATTTTGTAAATTAATATGAAAAATTTCCTTATTTTATTCTTGATGAAGTATAAAAATTCATTAAATAAAAGAAATAACTTAATTGCTCTGATGGACTTTTTACTTCTACATAAATCTATTATGACCTCATAGAACATAGCTTTAAACTTAACTTTAATAAGACAACTTTGTTCACTTTGTCGGGTAGATTAGTCAATTTGGTTTAATTTCTAGGCTTTCTTATTACTTAATAGCGTAATGACGTTCCCCTCCCACCTCCATAATCAAAAAATTTTCATCCAAATAAGTTATTCCGTTTGAGTTGTCTTAAAATTACAGAAAGTGTTACTTATTTTTGGAATCATTCATCTGGTCTCTCTTTACAAAAATTGTTCATTTTTCATCAGATAAAATGCGTTTCATGACGTGCTTTCTTTTATACTTTGTCTCTGCATTGTAAGTCTATAACTTAAATATCTATCATCATAAGACAAAAAGCTTTCTTCTTGAATCCCGTATAGATGAAAAGCAAAAAGAAATTTATTGCATTGACCGTAAAAAAATATAATTAAGGTTTTTCTTTCCTCTGCATTGTAAGTTCTTTAATCATCACAATTTTCTGCATACATCATTTAATGAAATCATATGCATGAGTATTCCTTCTCTTTATAATATGTATACGAAGTTGAATTTAATGTTTACGATGATGAAGGTAAGTGATCTGATAGCATAATAATATTATATATGTCCATCTCACTTTATCTCACTTACTGCTTATACGCTCGATCGTCAGTCTACCTTTAAGCTAAAAGTGTGATGTTGAATATTTAATATTCCCATCATCATATCTTTCTCTTGTTAATCATATGTATGTATGAATGTTGAGTACTTCAGCTTAGAATTTCAGATTCTGCTTTTTGAATATTGATAATTTTTTCCGAGTGTGTTAGTTCGTACAGTCATTTAAGTATGATGCAGTTGAGCTTTCCGATCAAATTTTCTTGCATTAAAAGCTATAAAAACTTAATTTGAAGTCTTACAAAGAAACTTAATGGAAAATTAAATGGAATTTAAAGTTAAGTACACCTTCTTCCGCTTATTTAGCACTAAGTGTGCACTCGCTGCCATAATTTTTTATTGAGCTTAACTCTTGCCATATCGTTTAGCTGTAAAATTCTTGAAGAAAATCACTTGTTCGCAATAATTGACGCTAATCCATACTTTACTCAATTGGCATCGCTCAATTTATGATAATCGCTTTACAGATGCTATTTTTTGCTGCTGTTATTTCATCTTACTTACAATTTCATTCATGACGATTTAAGGTAATGCCTTGTAACAAATTGCATGATTATGGATTTGCATGCACTTGCCATTTATTTATTTCGCTATAATATAATGTATAGTGATATTCACTGTACTGTTTGTTACTAAGTGCCATTTTCCCAACATTAAACACAATTGCAACATGTCACAATATTGAGTACAATCGCTTCTTCTGATATTTTATATTTTTGCAATATTCGAACCGTATTTTACTTATTAAGGTCTTTTGAGAGTGTATTTAGCTAGAGTATGCTATAAATTCAGCATTAATATTTTTAAAGAGAAAAAAATTCTTACGGCGTGGATATAGTCTTATAGACTCCTGTACTTTCTTAAAATGTTTTTGCAATTAAAATTTAAAGCATTCCAACAAATGTATGAAATGAATATTTTCTTTTGTTGTGGTGTATTCACTCAAAAAATAATAAGAAAAGAGAGAAAGAGTACAGCATATAGCATAGAAGCAAAGAAAAAAAATATTGAAGAAATTTTTTTTCTCGATGCCAGAAGCATGACATCTCTTTGTTTCACAAAACTTTTAAACGTGCAACAATTTTTTCATCAGCATTTTCTTAGATGAGTTCTTTTTGATTAATGCATTTTTACTGGCTGACTATTGAAGAATTAAAACCCGAAAAGACTAGAGCTCGAAGCTGACAATTAATTCGGATCCTAGTCGACTTAACTAGTCCAAAAAAAATAAGCTGACTAAGCTATGATATAAAATTTAAGTTTGCCATCTAGTCAGCAATAAGTATCATATCTTCTGTATAAGTAGAAGACACAGAACTTAGAACTTTTTAATAAAATGCGCTCAACGTTTTTTCTTTTTCATTTTAAACTTTAATTTTTCGCTTTATTTATATATTATTTCTTATGTGTCCTATTCCTGATTTTTGATGTAAGCCTCATTTTCTTCGTTAAATGGCAAAGTCCGCTGTTAAAATCATTTTGCGGTTTATTGTTGTAAAAATGTTGCCCAAAAATATAATGATCGCGAAGCCAAGAGTGAAATAAAATGTCCTCACAAAAAAAAATATTCTTCTTTCTTATTTCTTTTACTTCAAGTTGTGATGTGATGTACATTGGTGAAAAGAGAAGGAAGAGATTCCATCAAAAAGATTCCTCAACCCATCCGCTTCTCAATAGCAACGGCTATCGAATTTTTATTTTTGTAATCTTCATTTTGTTGACTCAAAATCTTTGAAGTTCTGCTAACTTTAAAGCACGTCTCTTTCAATAATACAAACTTTATCGTATTTAAGATGTTTTGTGTCATTGTATCGTCAATGGCTCATATGCAGTGCGAGCTGTTTCTATCGTTACACATTGTATCTCATCATGATATAAAATGACATCCAATCAAAAAAGTAAATTTACTTCTTATTGTTTTTAACTTCCAGAATCTAGCAAAGACAATTTGATGACATTTTAAACACTATAAAATTCAGTTTAATTTGAAGAACATATTTTTATCTGTCCCAAGTTGATAACTGGACAGTTATCATTTATCGTATAAAGGATTTCTATTGTCGGTTAATTATAACATTCACGTGACAAATCATCGATCCAAAATTTTAATAGTTTCAACTAAATTTTGGCAGTTCCAAGTTGCAAAAACTTGTGCACTAAAATCAAAGAGACAATTTTAAAAAACGATACGTTTGATTAAGCAAAATTCATCATGTAATGCCATTGGATGTCCAAAAAAAAACAAAAGGAATTTTTAAAAAGAAAATTCCACAGCATTGCAGTGAGAAAAAAGAAATCAAATCAATTATGGCTCTTACCAAGCTCTTACATTAACAATGAAGGAAACTGGCATTGTTTTCGAATCAATGACATTAAACTTGAATTAATGGTGCCTGAAGTTTTTTTGGCAGTGATGGAAATTCTATCAAGTTGTTTTCAGATTACAAAATACAAATAGTATATACGATTCGAGTCGAGCACCATGCTAGAGTCACGCTAGCTTGTTACATGATTTCTATTCGATTAAGCGACTTGTGCTGTTCGGGAGATCTAGTCACCATCATTATCAGAGTTCTATGGACTAAAATCTCATTGAGTCGTGTCCCAAATTTAACCTTTTTCAGATAACAACACTGATAAATTAAGTCAACTCTTTACAATGTAATAAAACTACATTGTTGTTAGTCAAAAATCAACAGAAACAACAGAAAATAAAAAGAGAGAGAAAAATAAACAATTTCCACAGAAACTGGCAGAACATAATGGAACCACAAATATTTTATCCACTCACGCAATACAATTGAGTGAAATTACGAGAAAAAAAAAATCGAGTAGATTCGAACAAAAAGTAAAAAGGCTTTTTTTTTTATTAAGATGTGCAAATGTCACGCAGATGGTTACGATTCGATTAAATTTTAACAAAAAGGAATCAAATTCATACTCATGTAAATGTGAGTTTGGGATGTGAATAAGCAAATGTAAGGAAGAAAAGTAAATTTCGATTCAGCCTGTAGCGAAATAACCTAAATATGTTTTAACAATTGTCTGTTCATTCGCCAGAGCATCAGACGATAAACGTTTTTCAATCAAACAAAATTAATCTCAATTTCGATCTGGGTTTCTCGATGTTCATGTAATATTTAATGTTATTACTGTTAATGATAATTGATATGACATCAAGTTAACGTTCCTGGTATGAAAAATCATGAATTATTTTTTGAATAACTCTTTATGTCGCATAAGCCTTCAAGACATGCAAATAACCAGCCAATACTTGTGAAACAAGAACAAAAAAAAAAATCAATAGAGGGCAGAGACTTCTTTTTAAAATAATTTTTATTCTTTTTGAATTGAAATAATGATGGCATTGTCATGTGTATCGCAAAAGATGTCCTGCAGGTCAAAGCAATTCATCATTGAATTCATACTCTTTCTCGCTCATACGATTTTACTGCTTATCGCATTATTGATCTTGTGTAATTTAAAGGGTGCTTGCTCATCAATCTCTTCTGCGCTTTACGACGAACGAAACTGATTTTTTATACGAAATTTTTCTTTTTAAATACCTACATCGGTGTAGATGAATAAATGAATAGTTTTTCAATTTTTTTTAATTTTTCTATCTTGAGTTGTTCTTTTATAACGTAAAAAAATACATTTATCTTAGTTAGAAGTCGTTGGACTCTCTTTTAAAATTCATTTTAAAAAACTTGTAAGCTGAAAAAGTCATTGCACCAAATGTCATTAAAATGGCAATTGGCAATTCATTTCTTCAAATTTGCACGCTCCCAAAAAAGTATAAGTACATAAAAAAATACTTAATAATGAGCAGCATGAAAGCAGGAAGTTCTTTTTTCACTAATTTTCAATTGAAATTAGCAAAAAATTCAAAGAAACTCGATATATAATTTATTTTAAAGTATTTTAATTAAATAAAGAGCAAAATGTACATTGAAAAAGTGACAAAAAAAGTAGTTATCATTATCATCATCAACACGAAACAGTGCATTCTGGTAATGTCATCCATCCATTAAATATGATTGTAATGTCATGTGATGTGAACATGGTCTATCTCTTTTCCCATATATGAAGCATAATTTTTTTTTCGAGTCCTTTCGTACAATTGACTTCAATTTTATGAAGCTATATTGGAGGAATCAAAGATTTTTATAGTGAATTTGACAGACTGAGTACGTTTTTTGCTGTTTGGTCCTTTTTGTGGCCTAAATGGAATAGAATAATTACCTTAATTTTCTCTGA